TTTTTAACAGTTCAGTTAGATCTTCAAGCGCTTTATCACATTCGCTCATAAGGAAAAATATTTTTTCCTGATGGCTTAATTCAAGTACATTACTTTGCTTTTTTTCTAATGACTTTTTTAATTCATCTACATATAGATCAAAAGGTTTAAAATTTATACAGTTTTCTTTCCATAATGATAACTTTTTATTGAGATCATCATTGGCCATCACTATTCAAAATGATAAGAGATATTATTAAAAATCTTGAATACGTGTAAAGAATAATATCATAGCTAAATAAATTTACCTGGATATTCAAACTTCTTATGTCCAAAATTTGCTTCTATAGATGCATTTTGTGACCTTAGTCCAATGCAAGGGTACAAATTATTTTTTAAATCATCAGGCAAATAGCATGTAATTCCTTAGCATATCAAATATCAAGTATAATTAATTAATCCATTAATTAATTAAAAATATATAGATATAGCGATGGATTTACCTTGGTTTACACCATTTTTAGTATAAAATATCATCTTATTTTTAAAATTTAAATAGCATCCAATTGTATCACCAGTAGTATATGACTCTCCATATGGTTCGCAGCCTCCAGAACAAAAGGAATATCCATCGTCACCATGGTAACCACATCCCCATGATTCATTTTCCTTATTTTCTTCATTTTCCTTATTGCCTTCATTACTTTTCTTATATTCCTGTCCTAAGGTGATATTTTATAGATGTTAATCTGTAATTATTAGAAAATAATATAAAAATTTGCTATTACCAGGCATGAGCATATCGTTTATGTAGACTGAATCATCTATTGCCATTTTTATATCGCTTTTCCTTGTACAATATCCGACTCCAATCATTCTATCAAGAAATAGAATTGAAGGAAGATTGAAAAAACAAAGATAATGTTTATGACACAAAATGACTATTAATAATATTACCCATTTTTTCCATTATCTATAATTTTAATTTCAAAGTAAAATATCCAACATTGTGAAGGGATTGGATGATTTGCTTGAATTATAGCAGCTTTATAATCATCAGGATCTTTAATTAAAAAGTTTTTTTTTAATAATTTAAAAAGCTATGATAATATTTTTTTAATTAAACTACCAACGATTAATGCCATCTCTGTGAGATTTTCATCTCCATCTTACCTGTATAAGTCACTTTAAGTCCATTTGAATCTATGTTAATAAATGGTGATTTGTCTTCAATATCCCATGCAGTAGGTAAAACAATATCACTGTACGAAGTTGCTAAATTTAAATTTTCCATTAGGTTAAATTCAATTCAGATGTTTCGTTTAAACGATTAGTGAACACATAAAAGTAATTTATAGAAAGATTGGCTTTGTATGTGAATTCTCGAACGCAATGTGCTATTTATGCACATCAGTATGCAGTACAAGTACTGTATCACATCAGCCATCTCTAAATACAGTAGTCGAAGTTTTGTCAATTTATAGAATATACGTACGTACGTACGTTCATACGTAGCTCTTTCGCTAATAAAAATTGTAAAAGATTTAATAAAATTAGTATACAAATCGTCGCTTCGCTAACGGTCTAAAAAATCCATTATATTTCATCCAGGATGTAGCTCGGGATAACTCAAACATTATGACATTTAGTCTTATGTACAGTATAACTGATAAAGTTCTAAATTCGTACGTACGTTTCTAATCATCTGGTTTTGGTCGTCCTATATAATTCTGTAATTTTGGTAAACTCCCGGAAAATACAAATTAAATTATTGTTCACATTCGGCTAAATTGATTAAATTTATTAGTCTCTTTGCAACTATCTTCATTTCTTAGAAAGCCAACCAATGTCTGAAATAGATTGCAGAGTCCAATAAAAATTTTAAATTTCCGCAACTAAAAACTGAATTGCATATGCGGATTCCGCATACAAATTTGCAAATTTATAGGTTTAAGTTAAATATTTATGTGCGCAATAATCCGCAACCAATTCAGTCGATAAGTTGCCAGTGATGACCAACATCAGAAACTTATCGATTTAGTTTTGTGCAATTTTTCAATTGTCTCGAATAGTGAATTGTCCCAGTAAGTTACAAGTTATCAATTAGGTTACGGTTACGGCAAAAATCGTATGATCCAAATGTGCTGGTAACAAGTAAATAAGCTTTGATGTCGTAACAATTAATACCATTTTAAAATGAAACAAATCTTTTCAAACCTTCCTTGTGATGAATCCGTTTTCTATAGTGTGCTTTATATATGTATCTAAACCCTTTTTATTATTATATATAAGTTATAGATGCTATATAAATTAACAATTTTATGACGTGATGTTCTCTAAGAAAAACCGGACATAAAACTTTAATTACCAGAATTAGCCCCTAAATAATTCTGATTAGCGACATGCGCTACCGCTACATAATTAAATTTAACTGTTAATTACAGATTATGTATCATCGTCGTAGATAAGATTTGTTCAGAAGCTGAGCCCAATAAATTACAAACTTCAAAATCTACATTATGGCTTTCCTTTAGCAGCACTCTTCATACTCGTTATGAATGAAAAATAAAATAAGCTACAGTAGTTACGACATGTAAATAAATTATCTGTGGTTATATCGTTAAATAACGGTGCATACACTTGGTACGATTTGTCGTATTTTGAAACGACAAGTTATAATTAGTTACAAATAAATTTTTAATACGGTATGTCCCAATGCTTCAAGTTTCGAAATAATTTCTCAGATTATTAATATAATCAGCAATAACGTGAAATACCGCAAAAATCATGGAACTAGAATCTAGATGTAGAAATATTAGAACTATGCAGTTCCTTTTTTTGTCGCACTAAAAAGTAGTATTAATGATATTATAAAAGTATCCACATGATTTTAAGTGAATTAAAAGAATTAAAAGCTATTATCTTTAAATAAGCTAAAATATAATTTAAAAATTATATTTCAGCTAAGAGAATTTTTTATGAATAAAATTTAAAGTTTATAGAGGTCAAAAAGTATAATTTTTTCTGTGGTTTCTTGGCTTCAATTAACTTTGTCCCGCTAGAATTAGATATTAATGTAGACCAGAAGAATTTAAATAATATTATTTTGAGACCACAAATTGATCAATTTTTTTTAACGGAGACTACAAATTTCAGAGTACGGTTCTTAGTTATGATATTTAGGCGAATAATACACTAATTAAAAATGACGTGATCAACGTTAGGAATGCTACTATGTCAGAATCAAAGTTTAGTCTGCATCGTACATAAATACTGTAGCCATATACAAAATAAAAATAAACATGTCTATTATTTTGTTTGATAAATCTGAGAAATAGCTTGAAGAATAAAGCTAAAACAAATAGTTTATAGAAAAGTGGACACGCCCAAGATGAATTAGTTATAATTAAATAAACTTGGAAGAAAAACCAAACCTTTATATCTTGGACAGCTATTACATTGCCACAAAATTACGATAAATTGTGAAAATTAGGAACTTGCTATGATCCTTATTTTCAAGCTTATCAAGGTTGTACCATCCTTTTTTTCTTAATAGATTACAAATAACTTATGATTTTATAAAAATATATTCTAAAATTTAAAATTTTTTAGTATCATTTAAAGTTCCAACCCATAAAATGTCACCATTTTGTTAGTTTTATTTAAATAATAACTTACGTTATAATATTGTGACTCAATTTTATATATATTTATAACGATAACAGATAATAATAAAACCAACTCGTGACTCTAATTAAAAACTCGAATAACGATATGTTGTGCTCTAATGTTGGTTACAGTAAATTTACCTATAATTCATCATTTATGATTTGTTGATAAATTTATGCTGATTATATTAAACAGGTTAACAGATCGGTAGGAATTCCGTTAATCGCTTCTTCAACATGTTCATTAATCTAGCTTTATAATGATGTTATAGAGCCAAGTGATGAACTATTATTTATATTTCATCAAATAAGAAACATCAATAATAAAAAAAGCACTTAATTCAATGAGATAGCGATCGATGGATTTATTGATTAGTCACGTTGCACCTTCGCATAATTTGTAAAAAAAAGAAAATAAAAAAAAAACAAAAAAATCCAAAGTGATATTACTTTATTTACTTTATTCTAACTGTCATTCGCAATATACAACAATGATATGGGTTTTTTTTTTCTAAAAATTTTTATTGTATCTCTAATTTTTGCGTTAAAACATGTGAGCTTTTCAGATACGTATACCACGTTATTATTTAATATCCTGTTAGTTGGACTAATAATTGAAGTGTGGTGCGGTTAAATACGATTTTTATTCGAATTTTGCCATGCAAAGTGATTTTTCCAATATATAATGTGCTATCCTAATTCATCCTCAAAAAAAAATAAAAAAATGCTTCTAAAGAAAAACGCGACAAAATTATTGGCACATTAACAAATCATTTAACAGACAGGATCCGGAATCCGAGACTTATGAATTTCTATGCATTGAACAGCATTTTGAATTTTTTGTTCGAAAATCTCCTATATGTGACGGTATCCAAAGAGAAAATAATGGATTGATAATTGGTGCAATGAAATTTACTATCTAGATGCGATAATCCTAAAGAATCAGAATTGCAGTTTGAGGAATAATTAAGTATCCCCTAAAAAATATACAACTTTGTCAGAAACCAAATAAAATATTAACAAATGACTTTTTTGAATGGTACGCTAATTTATCTGATTTGTCAATGTTATGTGTCATTTCACAATTCATGTTAGTTTTAAAATGACATGTGTTAATTTAAAATTACAATTTAACGTATGTCAATTAATAATCGGTATAACAATACCGACTACCTGTATATTACGATTGACTTAATTCATAAAATATTAAAAAATAAAAAAATTTAAAATAACTGAAAAAAATCAATTACGTATTAATTACAGTAATTAAAAGCGAAAAAATAAATTATGCATCAAATACATCTATGCCATACTACAATTAATGGCTATTATTAATGATTATTGCATTCGCCCTCAATACACAACCACAGCGCCTTGTACAAAGTGCATTGTTTTTTCAGCATGAACAACTTTGGTTTTGCAGTTGGTTTTACTACAATGACAACCATCATTTTTTTTAGAATTCTTTTCTTTTGCTTGATTATTCGTTTGAGATTGAATAAATGAATTATCTTCAATGTCTTGTACTTGTTGTATTGGACGTGTCAAATTTTGCTGCGCAGATGCATTTCTTAATGAGATAAAATTGCCTAGTGGAATGATATTAAGAGATGAATATTCATTTGTACCTGTTGTAGAAGAAAAAGGAATTTAAGTTGGATTATTAATTTTAATCCCACTTCCTATATACAACATACCTAAGGGTTCCAATTCATTGGCTGAAAACCATGTATCTAAAATTCTAAATTTGCTTTCAACCTGATAGGAATCAAGATTGGGCTTTTTCTGAATAACTTTACAAGGTAAAGAACACCTATCCATTTTTAGCTTATCAATATCAGGAACTCTAATTTTAACAAAGTCTCCTGGATTAAAAATTAAATGATGCTTAGTTTTATAACATTTTTCCATAACATTATAAATAATTTGATGATTTGTTTCAACATGTTGCTTTGCTATATCACATATGGGTTTGTGATGATCAAGGTATACATGTGATTGGCTTTTAATTGATCTCTGACTTTCTTTATCCAAATCTTCAATTAGTAAATAATCTTCTTGATCTAACTTGTCAATTAATGTATAGGAACAGCTTGTCTAGCTTGATTCTTCTAACAATAAATTAGATGAATCTTCATAAGTTAAATCTACCAAATTTATAACTTCACACTAGAGTATATTGATATTAATTAAAAGTTAATATTAATTATTAATATATATGTTATATACATTTTATAATTACAGTACATAATATTGATACCGATATAATATTTAAATCTTACATTATCTAGATTTGATGCATGCCATTTTTTCTTTTCTGTCCATGAATTTTGTAGAACCGGTACATCAATATCAGTGTTTATAAAACTATTTTCTCATGATATAAGCATTTTATCTTTATTTAAAATGCTAGATTCGAGATTGTATTCTTTATCAGTATCACTATCATCATTTATTATTATTATATCCATATCATTTTCTGTAAGAAAGGAATTTTTTAAAAAACTGATTAAATTTTATTTTCGTAGTTTTAATAAACATAAAAATAAAAAATATTTAATACAATAATCATTAATCATTAAATTTGATCGATCATTTGATTTTCTAAAGGAATGTTTTCCTCTTTAATAATATTTTGTTGATAAAGCATCATGATTAGTTGTAAATCGGCTTGGGGATCTTGGCCAAATACTAGTTTGTATGGCGTTGTCCTTGTTGCATTATATACTTGATTGTTCATAGCCCCTGCATAAATATATGTAACAGTATGTATTTATTATATACTGCTTAATTTATCAATATATTAAATTTACTTACAGATTACAAATGGCAATCCGGTACTCCAGTCCTTTCGTTTAGTCTCATCCATCTATGATCTGAGTTTTGTTTGTAAAATATCATTACCTTTCTCAACAGATTCTTGACACTGGGGGTATCTTGGCTGTCCATGTATAAATTTAATGGATGACCAGAGTTTTATAGTTTCTTTTGTGACATTACCAACAAACTCTCCACCATTATCTGAATATAAAACTGATGTTGGTCCATATTTTAAACAAAATTGCAATAGGAAATAGACTGTTTCAATTGCAGATTTTGTTTTGGCAGGTTCTGTTGCAGAAAACCTTGTGAAATGATCGCATATATGAATAATATATTTAAACTCGCCATCTGGGATTGCTGTCATGTTTATAGTATCAATCTTTAAAAAAATTTAATAAATTTAGTATAAAAAAAAAAGTATAATTAATTAATTATAGAACTTACTTGAACATGAGCAAGAAATTTTTCAGCGATTATAGGTTTCATAGCAGGAGCACGTTTTGTTGCATGTTGTGTAACACATACATTGCATTGTTTAACACTATTGCTTGAGGTATAAAGCAATATCTTTGTCAAATCTATTACATATACAAATAAGTATATAATAAGTATATATTTAAATATATTATTTTAAAATTTTTTTTTATTAATTTTAATAAAAAAATACTTTTAGCCATGTTTTTTCTTGACTGCCATGCTCTGTATCTTGATGAGCCTGGCAAATTATGTTGTAAAAGTTCTCAATTGGACAAACTTGAGTACCACGGTTATTGTTTTCTAACTTAAGATTTAGTTCTTCAACAATACCAACTTTAACTAATTTAAAAGTATGCAAAACCCAATACTTAAAGTTTGCATTTTCATGTTTACTTTCAGGGTTTCGTAAAAGAGTTAGACAGTGATTATATTTTGCCTGATTCATTATATGTCTTTCATTTTTTCGATTGTCCATATAATCATTAACAATTTTTTCAAAGGTTTGAGGTGAAAGAAATGAGAAAACTAATGAGTTATTAGAGGTCATATCGATGTTAAGAAAAGAAAAAAATAGAAATCGGTAAAGTTTTCTAAGATCAATTTTATATTATTAAAAAAAAATAGTTTATTTAAATTTATTGATTAAAAAAAATAGTTTATTAGTAATTAATTTGAGCGTAGTTAATATTGACGTATGTTACATTTCAAACGGTGTAAATTTTGAAACGACGCATGTTAATTTAAAACCCAGAGGTATCATAAAGCGACATGTGACATCAATACCTTGACACATTCTATAAGATTACAAAAGAAGCAAGATCTTTGGCAAAACAAATGTAATTAACACATCATTATTTTTTCTGAAATCAAAATTGCAATGGTGAAACTAACACTGCTAAAAACAGCTCATTGTGCCTAATCCTAAGTTCATCTGTTCCAAAGTTCCAAATGATCGATGCCCTTGCGAAGAATCTCTACTAACTTTCTCTATCCTCTTATCCAAGTTCATTCAAAAAAAATTCAAACCCATTATTGTAAAACACCTCTACT